TTTCTAGATTATTGGTCTTATTCAGGTCTCTCATTCTATATTTAGCTACACTCCTATATTCGGCTATTCTAACTGATCCTGACTGGCTAGTTTGACCTATGTACCTGACCTCACAGTCATCATATGGAATTTGATAGATTCGATTATTTTGCTGAATTGGTTGATTGATTGGATCCTTAAGACAGCTGATGAAGTTTATCTCTTAGTGAGTTTTTAGGTTTAAATGCCACCCTAATTCCAGCTTTGTTGAAGATCCTACGTAAAGTTTCTGATGTTCTTTCCTTATAGGATAACACAGTGGAGACTTTGAACTTATTTCTGCTAGTGCTGCCGTTATTATTCGTACTTGTATTACTGTTATTATTTCGTTTTTTGTATGTTCATACAAATTTCTTAATAAACAATAGGGCGTAATTGTTAACTATTAGCGCTTCTTCCGCGTGCTTTATAATTATTAGTTTGTATGATGGTAACTAACGTGGAGAGGAGAGTAAATCGATTATGTCAAGTGGTCAATTGTTGATAGTATTCGGAAGCAAGAGAGGGGAGAACAAGATGCCTAAAGCAAACATCGTAAACATTTTTTTTGGAATGAATGAACAGAAGGGTGATGTGATTCTACAAAGCAGATGTACAAATTTCTTCTGAACACACAGACTCATGTTGTTCAGCTGGCTTCTGATGTATAGAGAAGATTAACTCATTATACGTTAGGGAGTATACTTATATGGTTGACACTGGTTACCGAGTAATTGTTCATAACGCCTTTGCAGTGATTTATCACATTCTTTCTAATCTTATCCATGATCTAGGAGTTCTTCTTTTACACGCAGTATAAACCCCTGAAACCCACGTGAACAAACCTAGTCTGTGTCCGGAAAAAATCTATATAGCCTCTTTCCTTACCGTGACCATCTTCACAGCCTATCTGTAAAAACCACTATCTTTTTTGTTTGTTCATCGTACAAACGTTTTCAGTTATTATTATCGCAATTTTAGACATTATGCTCTTCACTCCGATATCTCTAATTTCCATCAGCAATTGATCACTTGACATAATAACCAGTTTTCTTTTCTCTTCGCTTTAGTTACCACTCCACAGATTATCAGTTAGTTATACAACAACCTGTTTAAAATGTCAGAAATTTTACTATGTAATTATTCTATATTATAGCTACTGTTCTATTGTCCTTAAATTATTTATCACCTCCTTGATACTTTGAGATTGGTAACCGATTATGAAGTAATTATCAGTAGTAGACTAGCTTGTACTATTATATTTTAAAAATGTTATATATTCGTTAAGAGCTAGCCATCTATGAAGAAGTAATTGAGAAAGAATATTTCATCCCTCACATTACTCTGCTTTCTAAATCTTGAAATGGAAATCTTCGGATTTTCCATTCCAATTTTTCGTATCACACGGTGAAATTTACTGGATTACATTTCAGGCACAATTTATTGTCTACAGTCATGTCAAGATGAGTCAGTAAGTGTTTCGCCAAGCTATTATGGGGAAAACGAATAGACAACTATTGTTTTCTTAGAGAACCAATTACTAATTTTGATCTTGTCTTTATACAAGTGGAACTGGTTCAGACTCCACCATGGCTCAGGTTTTTATTCAGATTGAATTATCACATGCATAAGTTGTAACCTCTATAGTATTTCACTTCATTATAGACTTAATCTTTGTCCAATTAGTTTCAACTAAGGTCTACTCGAAACCTCCCTCTAATGATTGCAGTTGTATACTGTAAACTGTGTAGTCATCTTTATACTCATAAACACTGTCTGCCTAGTCAAGTTTTATCCATAGGTAAAATGTTATCTGCTTACTGATACACTCACTCTCAAGGTAGTCAGACCAATTCAATTTAATGTTAGAATAATTGTACAGTAATTGCCTAATATTTTCACATCAGAAATCACCTTATCAAGCTGTCTTCCGCTATATTAGCAGAATTATTTAGTATCCCCTCCATCAATTCACTGAAATAACTGAATGGCATCTGTTAGTAATAGAAGATAATGATATGGTTGCATTCGTAAATTAAATCTTGGTATTACTTAAGATGGTTAGTGTTAGAATTTCGAGTATAAGTTGTGTTCAATTTAAAATATCAAGCTACAAAAATCTGCATTACACAGAGTCAGTTAGCCGTGTTAATTGGCTAAAACTCTTGGCTTTCACAAGCCAGTTGTTGGCACTAATTAACCTGGATCTATAATCTAACTAGTTTATTTAAACGCTTTACCGGCTCAAACAAAAAGTCATTTATAATTCTATTTCGGTCTGTTTGTGCGAAATGTCACACAGTGAAATACTATAACTTACTGAATAAAGTTTTAGACTTAATTTATTGTCCATATTCATATCAGGTAGCTTCACAACTTTGAGATAGAGTTTTATTATTATTATTATTATTATTATTATTATTATTATTAATATTTGTCTCTTGCGTTCCTAGTGGAATATAGGAATTCAGTAGCACATCGCTTTTTCACTCTCGACTCCCCAATCTTTTCAACCTCTCCCTCGACAACTGCCCACAAGCTTCCACTTATTCCTCACATGATCTCCTCCATGTCAAACTCACCTCCGACGCCTAAATTGTCGTTTCCCATTTGAATTCCACTCGACGACCTGGCCTGGTGCATGATATCGCCAAGCAGTATTCTCAGTATATGTCCAATCAAATCCATCTCCACTCTCGTCTTCTGCATATTTGTTGGGTGATGGGGTTCTTGGTTTGTTGAGGGGCCAACCAGAGTTCCTCGTTCCTTGTCGCTTATTCATATTATTGTGGCCACCCATCTGATCTGCATCTCCAGTGTCAGTGTCGAGTGAGCGTAGACGACAGCTGTTCATGTATGTCTGTAGTTTGTTTGACATGGTTTTGGTGATGCACCAAGTCTGTCAACCATCATATAGAAGCACTGACTAACTTGACTGAATGAGTGTTGAAAATGTGGATGTTGTTCTCGCTTTGTGTTGAGTGCAGTGCAGTGCAGTGGAGTAGATCTCCACACTGATATCAGATTAATGCAGGAGGGGTTGTGTTGGAATCTTTTCGACGTTGGCTTTGAGATCCTCACCTGTGCCACCTTTGCCGCTTGTAGTTGAGATGATGCTGCCTAGGTGGTAGGTGAAAGCGAAAACTTCCTTAGCATTTTAGATAGTCCTAATTTTCGCTCCTTCTTTGCAATGATGAAGGTAGTAGAATTTTCCATATATATCTGGAACAGATGCAGAATCAGTTCTGAGGCATGTATTTGGTGCTAATTCGATAAACAAAGATTCGGTTGTCAATCCCTGTCTCCACCCAACTAAGCTAATTTTAATACTATCGTTCATCACAGTCTACTGCGTGATAATTTGTAATTGCGTGCTGAGTTATAGGCCAGCTTTTCTCTAGATTTCTTATGTTATCAGTATCAACTGAGATACAAGGTGTTATTGATGTTCATTTTGACTATCTGAGATAGCCACAGTTTGGTGGGCTAGTATTAATACTGGGTGATGAATAAAGGTGAAATGAAAATTTGGACCGGATTAGAAGCATTGACCACAAGGATTCCGGCCTGATGTTCTACCAACTGAGCTAAGAGGTCCAACTTCTGACGAGGTTTTATCTCACTGGATTGGGATGAGAAGTCCTGACTATGAAGCCAGTTTGAATAAGATTAGGTGATTGTGTCGCGTCACGAATTTACATGGTAGTCGAGAAAAACCCTTGATGACTAAAGTGAAATAAAAATCTGATCAGTAGTCAGATCTCGCAGCTCAGTTGGTAGAGTACTGAGCCAGTAACCCGGTAGCTTCTGCTTCGAAGCCAGCCGCGGTTCAAATTTTCACCTCACCTTCAAACACCGTACAGTTTTCTTGATATGTCTTATTTCTTGTCGTAGATTTCCTGTCCTACTAGTAAGCTGTTTTGCCCTAATATTTAGGAATTTAACTATGCCTACTTTAACTGAGATGGGGTGAGGTGAGTTGAATTCTAAGTAGCGATTCGAATTGGAAGGCTTTCTATAGACACTATTCTCTAACCTCCCGTCTTGTTTTCCTTTAATCTTCCAATCCAATTTCGTTGGTTCACCTTCATCACTAAGTCATAAATAAATTGGATTGCATTCACTACTGAATTTGTATGTACCAAGAACCTGTTGATATGTTCTGATAACGGAATATCTGTTTATTGAATCAATGCCAAATAGATGCAATCAAAATGATTCTGCATCTGTCCCAGATATATATGGAAAATTCTACTGTCCTTGACATCACAAACAAGGAGCGAAAATTCAGACTATATAAACTCTGTCTCAAAGTTGTGGAGCTATCTGATATGAATATGGACAATAAATTGTGTCTGAAACGTTATCCAGTAAATGCTACTGTTTCACTGCTTGATATTTCTCATAAACAGACTAAAATGAAATTTTGATCTACCACGGTGCTCAAGTTCTACTCCTGTATTAAGAAAGTGTTTTATAACCTGAGAGATTGGTTAAAGAAACCCAGTAAATAAATGCATAGGTCCAAGTTCCCTCATTTTCCATCAGCATACAGCGATGAAGTGGATTAGAAAGTGATGTCAGTGTAGACAAAACTGTATTGATTACGTATTAGTGACTAATCGTTGTATTTGACTCATTCCTACAGAAAGTTGATGGCGTCTCAAATGGTTTACTGATAAAGTCCCTGTTCGCATCGATGAATCAGGCGGGTTCGAGTATCTGAATGAACATCAGTTTCCGAAAAGTTGTAGACATGACTTACTGACAAGTACCAACAAGCATAAAGTCTATAAATCCATGGCCTCTTACTGACTGCATCTAAACACTGAACAATAAATGAAGTGCATCATGATGCTGAGTTTCCCGACTTAGTAACTACACTTAGAACCATATATAGTGTAAGACCAGATTCTTTTAAAAGTCAGGTTACGGTAACTACTTAGTCTTAACATCTACACCACTGATTACATTGAACTTACCAATTTTAATTGATAAGAGCATTTCCATATAGTTTAAATCCAATGCCATTGTGGCTGCAATCAACTCATTTGTATTACGAGTCTGATCTATGTGTCTGACTAATTCATAATTACCCGTTGACATTGCACACTCAAATAAACTTTTTCCATTGGGTTGATTTGCAACAGTTCGACACCAACATGATAAACAGTAATCTATTTTAGTGATGTCTTCTCGTCTTACTGAAAAAAAAGGATAGAATAATAGTATGTGGAGACAATGAAGAAAATTAGGGTCTGTGAAGTAAATTAGTGAGTAGAAGGGTTCAAACACATAAGAAAAACAGGATGAAACCTAACGCTTATGTAACTGCAAGAAACCGTGACCTGTGGGGTTACTCATTTGAAAGTGATACGGATAGTAGCTGATGACCTTCGGGGGTAGTCGCACGATACTATGAACTGACAGCCATAAGAAACTGTGAACCACTGAACTCCGACCCTTCAGGTGAAATCTGCAGATGCTGAGTTTGATCACCACTGGGGTCGTGGATGCGTACTGCTAAGAAGTCCCACACAAAGACGAAACTTCCTTCAGGAGGTTGCGAGTTTTCAGTGATTCTCTAGTGGATTTCATTCCACGATGAATACTATCTTAAAAGTTTTTATGATATATTTAAATCAACTGCCGTCACCGATTACATCAAAATGCTTTCATTATTGTAACATTACCAGTGGCGGCAACGTTAAATATACTAACTGAAATACAGAATGCCTTTTCTTTACCAGTAGTAAATTAAGCAGAAGTAAACCAATTATCGGCAGTTTGGAAGATACTAACAAAAGAAATTCAATGTTTAGAAGTGTGAAACCTGGTGGATGTTAGGACAAATACTCAACGATGACATTGGGTGGAAACCATGCTACGCTGTTAACTGACAGAAGTTGAAAATATGGATCGCTGGATGCCTTCCTGCCCAGTGGCTCACTGTTGACGTGCTGACCAAGGAACCTGAAGGTGTTGGGTTCGGTCCCTGGTGGGGTAGAGTCATGGTTGTGCACTGTTGAGGAGTCTCATACTAGGACTGAACAGCTGTCCAGTACTTGCAGGTTTCCAATGTCCCTTTAACTGATGTCATTCCATGATGAATGTCAACTTGAAATTCATAAACTTGTCCAACTGTTGAAGAATATCTTCGATGATCTCATTCACACTGTTGTGCAACTGCAAGTTTATATTTTGAGGTAGTATTCGTCATGGACTGACATCAGTCGGACAACCACTGAAGACCTGGAAGCACTGGACAGCCTTTTCGTCCTAGTATGGGACTCCTCGGGAGTACGTACTCATGATCCAAGTAGGATTGAACTCAGGATCTGCAAGTATCGCGACGAATGCGTTAACCATTTAGCCAATGGGTCATGAGTTCGATCCTTAGCTGGGTTGTAGGTGCGTACCGCAGATTCACCAGAATCTGACCAAAGTTGTATAAAGATTACTAAGCTTGGATAAGAAGTTGGGTAGGATGAAAAGATATTTGGAGACTGAAGTGTGATCAGATAGAGCATATCAACACAAATGAGTGGTGGATTTCGTAAGAAGCGAACAACGTGAAAAAGGAAAGAGGTGACTTGAAAGACTAAAAACTAAGACCATACAAGGAGAAGGGGTTGAACAATCTTACTTGGCGTACACTGTTCAGGTTTCTCAATATGGATCACAAGAGCTTTGACGACGCAGAGAATATGAAGACATGCAGCCTTTGAAAGATTTCTCACTTTATGGATGACTTTGAACGAGGAGATTCATGAGATAGAGTGATCCATGGTCACGATGTATTCAACTACAGCATTTCTCATCACATCGCTGTTACAAAGAGGTACCTAACTCTTCATTTCTGTTCTTAGGCTCTTTCTCATCACACTTCAGTCTCCAAATATCTTTTCATCCTATCTAAGCTTAATAATCTTTATAAAACTCCAGTCATATTCTGATTAATCTTCACTAGTCATCACAGTTTTTAAAAGAATTTAATTACAGCTCATGTATTGACACTATTTTTGTTGCCATGCTTGGTAAACTACTTTTAATTATCATATCCTGACACAAGAGAAATGTAAAAATTTGCAGACGTAAAGCTTTGAGAAAGAAGTCGCCATAAAGAGACTGTATTTCGCCGGAATGCTTGTTCTTCTTTCATCTCTAAATATTCTCAACAATTCTCAGACTATAAATGAATGGTTACTAACTTGATTCTTTTGAATACTACAAATTACGTTGTGAAACCCTGAAGAAGAAAGACCGACCTCAAAAGTTCCATCTACATTTATTGAAGTAATCTGATAATTGTCAAGATAACGGAAAGAATGACTTACTTGCATTCCATATGCCACAATTCAAACCAGGTAAGTTTTTTACCAACCATGCTCGTTGTTCTTCACAATTATAGTAAACATGAAGACCAGAATTATTTTTAATCTCCGGATCAGCTCCTGAAAACGTTCATACACATCATATTTCACTATCAGATCAAGTATGCATATAATATCACAAAAGGTTATAACGCTGAAGTAACTAAAAACAACTCCTTTAACCTGTGGTAAGATATTCCAGTAGCATTCGTGTTGCTGTGGCATCCATGACATAAAAAAACGATTTGTATTGTCCCAGAATCGTTTGAAGGTTAAATGTATGTCTTTGGAACTCAGTCTAACAATTTGTTGATATACTTGTAATTCTCCGTTGTTATACTGGGTCGAATTGCTCGACCTTTGTCGGCATTTAGGCTCCTATACGGATGGCTCAATATTGCCCGAATATTTGGTATAGTAATTCACTTGGTTGTGGATACCATATTAATCCACTAGGCGCGTTTCGCTCCATTTGGGACTCGTCAGCTGGACATACCCGCACCCCAGTGGGTGATGTTGTTTTCACTGGGGCTCGAACTTCGTGCTTATCCCTTCATATGCCAAAGCGACATTAACTAGGCCACTGAGGCACGAGAGTTACTTCTTGTACAGTGGGTATTGGTTATAACTATTTGCCGATATATTTGTAATTCTCCGCTGTTATACTGGGTTGAATTGTTCAACCTCTTTTAGGATATGGGCTCCTAATAGGACGAAACGCACGTCCTGGATTTCTCTGCTATCCACAACCAAGTAAACTATTAGGTCAAATGTCAACAGATTTACTATTCTTTTTAAGATTTCAGATTGTAAAAGTTGGTTTACCTGAAACTAGCTTTACCGGTAAACAGATTAGCAATGAAGATAAAGAAACGTTGAACACTTAGTTAAACACATTAAATCTATCCTTAAGATTATCCTCACCTTCATAAATGTGACCAACAGTATACTGAGAGTGTAGATCATCAGAAATAATTGCATCAACAAAATAGTCTTCATAAAAATCCCTTCTTCTTAGAAGAGACTGTGAATGTCGTGAGAGATGTAACACAGTGCTGTTGCTGGTCATTCGCATAAGCATTTTTCAACCTAAGTAAAATATTGTTACTACTGCTTTCTGTTTTCGCCTAACAACAGACGGATGGAGAGATGGAGGATGGAAGGGGGGTTTACTTACTAGAGTAACTAAGGTACTAGGTTGTTGAGGGGAATAATAGTTAGTCTCATCAGACTGGTCAACTTCACCAATCATTCCAATTTGTAAAAAGGTGAAGAAGTCTTCTTGTCACAACCATAGAGGAATCAGTTTGACTAAAATTGAATCCAAGATCTTAGGACCCATTGTTATCTAACGACTAAATGAAGTTCAAGAATAGCAGACTCAAGAAAATCAGGAAGGTTTCAAACCTAGTAGAGGCTATATCAATCAAATTTTCGCTCTTTGTTAGGTTATCGAACACAGCCATATCCTACCATCGGCAGACACTTGTAACAACATTTGTCTCTGCCTTATGAAAGGTATTGTCTATGAGGGAAGTACTAAACAAGCACATAAAGATAATCGCAGTTCTATACTCGAACTCATGCGACTGTGTAAGGGTTTGTCGAGAGTTATCGCCTGAATTAACAACAACTAGTGGTATCCCCCTGGAATGCCTGCTATCAACTGAGGTATCGCCGACTTCTTGCTTCTTGAACAGCACATTGCCTGACCTGAAATACTTAGACGAAATTGTCCTGTTATGCAGGCTGAGAAAGTGAAGAGTCTTCCAAACGCATTGGGCGGAAATCTAAGTATGTTTGTTATGCATTTCACACCTGTTGAATGTAACAGGATTCTTCAGGACTGGTCTGTGGCTACTCCCAATTCAGGGAAAAAGCGTAAAGTTGTAGAGTTCTCCGACCACTTCATTCGCTTAAAAGGTTGAATTCAGCCCAAAAATGTTGACTGCTAACAAAATCTTAGTTCGGATAAAAAAGACCCATTTGGCATTTGCTAACTTGCTCTAGCTTTGGTGCCAGCGAGGTATCCGACTTCTCACCTATGAAGAGATGAGTTTGTCACGCTTCGGTGTAACGATAAATTAAGGATGTGCCTGAGATATTTCAACAGATTTTTCACCATGCTATCACTCACAAACTTTGGTTATCATAAGGAATTCATTCAGGAAGCATGCTGATTTCAGACCAACAGCTGAGATCTTAATGAAATGGTGCTATACCTGTGGATAATTAACTGAAGGCTTATTTCATGCTAATCTCAACTTTACTAATATTAAGCACCAAGTTGGGCATTGTCTGGAGATGTAAAACACATTTCCTGACAAAGTGATAAAAATTAACGAAGTAACTAACTTTTTTTCATAGTTCCTTAGACAATAAGGGGGTCGTTAAGGCCCATGATAGCACCATACTTCAATCAGAATGTCTTCACTAAGGTTACTGGGCGATAATTTAAAGTGAAACGGAAATTTGAGCAGTGGTGAGGTTCGAATCAACGACCTCCAAAGTTTAGTTTCATAGCTCAGTTGATAGAACACCGAGCCAGTAGTCCAAAGGTTACTACTTTGCATCCCACCAGGGCCCAAATTTTTGATTCATCATCAGTCACCACCCATTTTCAATATAAGTCTATCAAACCACGACTGTCACAGATAATCAGACTGATACTTATAAAAGATAGCAAATTTTCACTGATAATGCATCTACTCTCTTATGCAAGTGAAACGGAAAAATAATTCAACGCCCCAAGAGTTACCAAAAGATGGTACTATACATGTCACACAACTGCTTTCTATAATCTTGCTGTATTCCACATCTAAGTCAAATCATCTGTTAATTTGGTTATTTATAACTGTCAAATTAAGAACATATATGACAAAACTTTGTTCAACTAAATTTTAACTTGGATACTGTTCTGAAGACATTTACGCACAAGAAAGCCTCAAGTTGAAGCTTTATAGTGCGTCATTGGATGCTAAAAGCGATTTTCTAGTACTCGCTGTGCGGTGGTTAGGAGCTAAACGGTGGGGGGAGGGAAATAGCGGTCTAATGTTCTCAGAGTTGTCTTATTTCTCCTATAGAGGTTGATTCCTGATAAAAACTATCGTAATACCATTAAATGTTTTAGTGAATAATTTGTCGAGCTGCTTTCGACTAGTCACTTTTTGAGTAGTTAATCACGCAAAAATTTGAAGGATACCCAGGCCCGTATAGCTCAGCAGTGACGTCACTGACTTAGAAGGGACATCATGTCGTATGACCAGTAGTATAATCTAGCGGTCTACGACCGATAGCAGCCCAGAAGACTATTATCAATGGGAACAAAATGCGCAACGAATCGACTCTAACGCAAATCAGAACCTCAACCACCACAATAACAATACCACCAACGCATGAAGACAAGAAGAGAAGACAGACCGTTGACAGAGAGCCTTTTACCACCTCAACAGTAGTCGATGCAGCTGACAGCGATGCTGAATACATTAAATTCTAAATGACCTTGACAACACTAATTCCACACATAGGTAAAAATAGTTAACAGTCAATGAGATTTCAGCCTTGAGAGGAGAGGGGAGAAACACTAGTGACGGTGTGAAAACAGCCATGTAGGTTATTTCAGGGTCATGGACAAAACAGCAGATAAAAGCTATGCAAAATTGGGGGTACATGGCGTCATGTCAACAAGAATGAAACCAAAACCATCCAAGGATTCTTGCCGATCGTCTCCAGCCGACTAACTTTGCCTAGAATCTGCTGAGAATTCAAAACCGTTTGCTCCAATGACACTATCGAAAACTTCCCCAGATGGAATTCGGTCAACACTTAAAAACTACAACGTGATATCCATCAAAATCGAGAACGGAAGTGTACTTTCAGTTCAGTGACAGAACACCTCGTGAACTGAGGCCACTTAGCTCCTTTTGGGAGCTCATTTCAAATCCTCTACAGGGTTTGGTCAAACCACTTGAAAGGAGTAAGACCAAGGCATTTGTCTATAGCTGAAGCACTAGGCATCCAGAAGTTCAAACCAGTGCATATAAGGAACTAATAATGTAAACATAAGGTTTAGTTTTTTGTATGATTTAAGGTCAATTCGGTCTGAGTCCAGTAGTAAACATCCCGAGATTAAATTGGAATTTATTTTGAGGTTGATGGGATTTTAATTTTAAGGTAGGATTCATCACAGACCAACATCAGTTGTAGAACCATCGAAAACCTTTGAGCACTGGACAGTGGTTCCGTATACTGTTTTCAAAGGTTTTTGCATACTGCTGCATAATGCTCATTAGTGATATGCTTCCAGATGGACATCTCAAAATTCTAATGAGAATCAGTGACCTCTGGAGTCAACCAGTTAGAAGTGAAATGGATGCCAGCTGGAGACTTTCAATGCTAGTTCAGTTATATCGCGAAAAGACAGAAGAAGGAAACTGTGGACTGTTAAATTCTTACCAAGTCACTGATTAGGTAACGTATTCAACATGAAACCTTAAGGTTCTGAGTTCGATCTGTGGCATGGTCATGGGCACCTACTGCTGAGTACTATACCAGGACGTAATAACTGTTCAATGCTTCAAATTTTTCGATGGTTCTCCAGAAGACATAAGCCTGTGATGAAAACTAACTCGAATTAAGAATTGACTGTGAAACTAGTTGCAAAAGAGGATGAAAATAAAGAATTTTGAAAGGGCTTATACTGAACGATACATAAGTTCGGTTTAATTCTTCAGATATTAATTACTTCTTTGAACCTTGGTAAATTAGTAGTGCTGGTTGGTTTGTTATTTTAAATGTCTTCGTGATCTGGAGATCGTGTCCTGTGTATATCATACGTTCAGTAATGGAATTAACTTATTTGGAATCTAGTCTGAGCCTTTCTTTCTGTCTTTTTGATGTACGTGCTCCAACATCTACTTATGAAATAGTAAGTACAATTCTAGGTGACTTGAAGTGGGAACCGATCGACTTTTGATTGTTATAGTGAACAGTCTGTTTTGAATACAGAAACGAATTTAACTGCTGGGAAGGTGATTTTTACTAAAGTCCTTATTCTTTTATCAATCCTGTTCATGAATTGATCCTCCACATAAGTCAGTTGGAGAAACAAGCATTTCTTCTAGGTATTATCAAGTACACGCGTTTTTGTGGTTCTCATCTTGACTTTATCGATGAACCGAATTTTTTTTCAGTCAGTTTGCCTGATGAATAAAGTTTCCTAGCCCATTGAAATAATCTTTTAACTAGTCCTTACACACAATTTATAGGACAGAAACTGTTATAGTAGAGGTAATATTCGCTTTGTGTTTCCTTTCCGTAGGTAGATCACCGACACAACCATCTCTTCTTAGTTGAATTCACAAGTTCAAGAAATGAAATTCACTGTTTGTCACGGATTCCATGGTAAGCTTAATATTTGTATACGTCTTACTAAATATTTCAAGAAATCATCAGTTTTCCCAAAGATAATGGGACTTCCACTTTATAAATACTAAATAATAGGAACTTAAAAAAGAAAGAACAGGATCCAGATTTTCAACACCAATGTCAAGTCAATGCTGCTATATGGTTCACAAACTCGGCGCGGCACGATAAACACTTCCAACAAACTATAGGCATTCATCAACAGATGCCACCTACACTCACTCGATACTCAATATCAGATGGCCAGAATAATAAGAATCAGCTAAGCAACAAGGAAGTCACTCTGTCTGGCAACAAACCAGTCAAGAACCCACCACCCAACAAATATGCAGAAGACGAAAGTGGAGATGAGTTGGATTGGGCATACAATGAGAAGGCTGATTGGGGACATCACGCACCAGTTCAGGTCAGGTCAGGCTAGGCCAGGCCAGAGCAGGTCAGACCATGTCCTCGAGTGGAATTTAAAGGGGAAACGACGAGTTGGGTGTCCTAGGTGTGGGGGACATAGAGGAGATTGTGTGAGGAAGAAATGGAAGGTTGTGGGTAGTGGTGGCACCATGTTGAAAGGACTGGGATAAGAGAGTGGAATGGAGGTGTGCTACTGAATTCCTATGTTCCACTAGGAACCCAAGGGAAAAATAATAATAATAAATTTACTTAAAGTCTATATGAAGATTGCTTCCAACGAAATAAGACATTTTTTCATGTAAACACCAAAAATCACTTCGTTCACTGTAAAACTGTTCTGTATTGATGACGATGTTTAATTTGACCATAAAATATTTACCAACCAAATCTTCAGCTCTCAATACAGCTCAGTTTGAAGATACCACAGTTACATTGAGATATGTATAACCATGATTTGAAAATTATCGTTGAAAATTGAATCTATTAAGGTGCGTTCAGTACTTTTCACATTGACATCACTGTTGATTAGTTTCCATAACGTTACATAAAACACCAACTACACAGTTATACCTTCTGATTCTATAGTCTATTGTTAGTTTTCAACGTATAGATTTCATAAATTTGCCTGAAATAAATGTACTACTCCGAGAGATCTAGATATTTAAGCGATTTTTTCCTGAGGCTTCAAAGTACAATATAAGTTTCTGTTTGCATCGCTGCCTTCGATTAGTTAGCTTCATTAGATTTTCTTTCCGAACTTGCTTCAGACAATGTAAGATAAAACACTTAAGTTTCATTTCTGCTTTATTTTTCAATCAGAAAGTGAAGTCTCTTCATTCAAATGTGTGAATTTCGAGGTGTAATAGCTCCCCTGACGTCTATTTCTAACTGCTTACGTAGGTGAAATATGCTTTGAAAAGTACCACCTATTTTGAAGTGGAATATAAGAAAATGGTATTTTCGTCTGACTTAATTGTGTGCATGATAACTGAAATACAATAGATACAAGGGAGTGTGTAGTCCTACTGATCCCCTTAAGTTCTTCACAACACAACCAAACCCTTGACTTTAAAGTTACATGATAAAAAGCCATGGCTATAATCCCGCTGCTGGGCATTAGCATTCACTTTTTGAAAGTGCAACTACAGGCTTATACATCCTTGAATTCGATGTGTTCCCTTTACAGACTGAAAAGTAGTCAGTTATACATATGAAAGCAGCAAAAACATCTGAAGTCTTCAATAAAAATTCAAGGGATTAGGCAGCCTTTCAAGTGAACTCATAGAAATAATCTTGTTACTACTAAAAATTTACTTACCTAAGCGTATCAAATGAATTGTTAAAAAATCTGTGTTAGGTAAAAGACATACCAAATGCAATGGTGTATTTCCTATATGATTTTGAGCATTTACTGAACATCGACCATGTACAACAAGTCGATAAAGTAATCCAACAATTGCTGAAGTCCAACTTGAAGATATTTTATTGTCTTCATTTAATCGAATACTATCATAGTGTTTAGCTAATTTAGGGATTGATGAAATTAGACAATGTAATAGTGTATTGCCTGTTTCAGTATCTTTTATACCACCGTGTTCTGGATTCACCAATTGGTGAGCTAACCATAAATGTTTAACAGAAATTTGATGAATCAAAGTATAAATATCTAATGTTTTAAAATTATCCTTCAGATTTATATCAATTGATGGTAATTTCAAAGAGTTTACACCATTATCACTACTGACAGTTGTTGTTATCAGCATTTCACTTGATAAAATCCTAGTTGAATCCATCAATAGACAATATATTCCAGTTTATTGGTATATATGTTATAATACTTTTAGGTATTTATATATTATAAGAAGTTTTTCTGGTTGCTAAGTGATAGTTTACTTTGACAACTACAAACTATTTAAACAATAGTCAGCTGATTGAAGATTTCAATGAGTAGATCATTGGAATAAATCAATAAATTTATACTATAAAAGTACTTACAACAAATAAATCATTAATTATTCACTAAACTGGATTTGATAATTTGTAATATCACCTGGGAAACTGGTGAACAGTTATTTTTGTTTCGGTCTAAGATTTCTTAATACAAGGTAATAGATTGAAAGATCCTTGAGTCGTCAAAGCAAGTTTTATTATCTTGAAGATTATTCAACTGATGAAAAGAACTATGAACTTCTTCAACTTATGAACCCGTTAAATTAAACAACTATATTGTACTTATTTATAAGTAAATTTGAACTTTGAAATGTAGAAGTTATTTTTCAGAGTCATTATTATTATTATTAGTCCCTTGGGTTCCTAGTGGAACATAGGGCTTCAGTAGCACGCCTCCAGTGACCTCTGTTCTCTGAGATCTTATGAACCTGGTTCCATGACAGCCCACAAGCCCTCATTTCCTCCTCGCACGACCTCCTCCATGTCACCCTCGACACCAACGCCCAACTCCTCGCATCCCATGGGGATTCCACTCGAGGGCCTGATGCGTGATGTCCTCAGTCGACCTTCTCAGTGCATGCCCAATCCATCTCCACTTCCTCCTGCATATTTGTTGCGTGATAGGGTCTTGGTTGGTTCGTTCCCAGAGCTCCGTGTTGCTTATTCTTTCTGGCCATCTCATCTTCAGTAGCGAGACAGCGTAGACAGTTGTTGATGAATGTCTGTAGTTTATTGGAAATACCTTTCGTGACGCGCCAAGTCTCTCAACCACCACATAGAAGCACTGACTTGACTGGATTGGTGTTGAAAACCCTCATCTTGTTCCACATGCTGAGTGTAGAAGATCTCCACACTGGTTTCAGGCTAGTGAAGGCCTGTCTTGCTTTTCCGATTCTGACTTTGACATCCTCGTCTGTCCTGCCTGTAGTTGAAACAGTGCCTCCTAGATAGGTGAAGGAGGTTACTTCCTTTAAGTTTCACCGTTGATGGTGACTAGAGTTTGTTGTTGTTGTTGGTGAGGTATCTTCATCACCTCTGTCTTCTCTATATTCACCTGAAGTCCCGTCTTCGCTGCCTCTTCTATCAACCTGTTAGTTTTTTCCTGCAGATCTTCAAGTTTATGTGACATCAGGCACAAGTCATCGGCGAAATCCAAGTCTTCTAGGTTATTTTCCGCAGTCCAGTGTATCCCCCTCTTCTCACAGCTCCCCACTGTTGTCTGCTGCATGATCCAGTCGACCACAATCAGGAATATCATGGGTGGTAGTAGACAGCCTTGTTTCACTCCTGTCTTCACTTCACTGCAAAGGCATCACTGAGCTTCCCATTGTGAATTACTTGGCTGGCATGTGGCATCTTCATATAGTTGTTGAATGAGACGGATAAAGGTTTGCGGTACTCCGTAGTAATGAAGCAGTTTCCAAATTACCTCTCGGTTGACGCTGTCAAAGGCCTTCTCAAAGTCGATGAAGTTGAGGTAGAGAGCTGATTGCCATTCTATGCTCTGTTCTATGATGATGCGTAGTGTACGTTGCAATTTGATCGGCACATGATTTGTACTTCCTGAACCCAGCCAGCCTGTTCCGGTCGTAGTTTTGAATCCAGTGCATCCTTTAGCCTCTCCAGGATGATGCGGCTTAATATTTTACTTGGGGTGGACAGGAGAGTGATTCCTTACCAGTTCTTGCAAACACTGAGGTCTCCCTTCTTCGGCAGTTTGACAAGGTAACCCTTCTTCCAATCAATGGAAAGGTACCTTCTCTTCCTTCCACACCTTCTGCAATAGTGGTGTGAGCATGTCTGCCGCTGTTGTCTCTGCGTCTGTTCTCAGTGCTTCTGGCGGTATCCCATCTGGTCCTGCTGCTTTCCCGCATTTCAGTAGCTTTAAGGCGTTGAGGACTTCCATTTTCGTTGGAGGATTAATGTTCACTTGTAGTTCAGCGGCTGGGCTGCAGGTGGTATTTCTGGACGAAGTGCAGGTGGTGGTGGTGGTCGATTCAAGAGCTTCTTGAAGTGGTCGGCCCATTGCTTCCTTTGTTTTTCTTCTTTCGTAATCAAATTTCCCTCATCATCTTTTATTGGTTTCGTCTGCGTTGATCTCCTCCCAGATATCAACCTGGTTATTTGATACAATGTTGTCAGGTCTCTCTTACCTGCAGTCTGTTCTGTTTCACTTGCCAGTGTTTTGTAGAAGTGTCTTTTGTCTTTCCATGCACTCTCCTTCACTTCTTTGTCCAGTTTCAGAGTCATAGCCTATAGATTCATCTAAGTCACAAGTGAAAATAAACGCAAATAAACACGTGTGATGATAGTCATTTCATATAGTGGACTGTAAGATGCAAAAATATAGACCGTTAGATTACACAGTGTTGTCGCATACCAACAGAGAAATCTGAAGTTTATAGATTCAATATAATCCAAAGTTATAGATGAACACTGATGTAGAGTTTAAAAACTAAATAGGATTACTGCTTATCACTTCCTAGTTTTCAATCATTCTCTAATCCATATCAATCTATACTGGGAATTATCTTCTCTTCAGTTGTTTGTATTCTGTCGCTCAGATCGAAGTTAGAATCATGAGTTTATTTTGTAAGTGCTCATTACCATGAGAATTTCCCTATTAAATAATTGTGATTATGAACAACTACAAAATGGTTGATAAATTGCTGGTATTGTGTACACATGGATGGATGATTGGTATTATGCTAAGATCACACTATTTCCTATAGTGACCATAAAAGATTTCAATGCTATAGCCAGTTCTTGTGGGAATTTCAGCAATTTTCCATAGGCTACAAATGCACAATATCTAATCTTTAAGATCTGCCGACAACATACAATCCCAAAATAATCTTTTAATCGGCCTAGAAGAGAAGACATCTACTACTGAAATAGAGACTGAGAAGTCGAATACTATTCATTTATGTATACTGGATTGTTGATTTTAGGTAACACATACTTGTTTACCCGATTCTTACTTCCTTGTACTGATATACCGAGCCAAAAGTGTCCAACATTACTCATGATTCCATATTAAGGTTCTGACCCCCCCCTTTCTTTCTTTTTAGCTATACCAATGGACTATAGTTTTGGGAATATTTGGATTCCTAGATATCCTCTTGAAGGTTAATATGGTTTGGTGTCTTTCTTTTTTTGTCCGTCTGGTCCGATGTTTTCTGAGCGTCCGTATTTGTTCGCGGATATTTTATCACCAGACATTAACTTCATCACGTTAGTGTTGAGGATGTCACCAATCCCGTCGATGAAACGTTCATGACACAAAATCATTATCAACCTCATCTTGAGCTAAAACATTTTTCAGGATTTCACAAGGTCTAAACACTATCTTCTTCCAGTGTACTCAATTATACTTTAGATCTAGCATATAAATTAGCGAAAACTGTACTCCAATTTCAAATTTCCTACCTGTTGTTGGCCTTCAATTCTTCAGAAGTTGGTGAGCTGAAAGCAGCTGCAGAGAAATTTACCTGGTGTTCATTAATGAGATAATTCCTATTTACTTGGAGAATTCACGTTATTCACAGAATAAACTATTTTCCTGTGCCTTAAAATTCCAAATAGTTCTACCACCCTAATCAATATATCCTTCAAGTCTTCATAACACAAGTCAGTATTAATCACCCTTACTCGTCTTATCTTATATGCTTGCATGACCATTAAAAATAGTCTTTCATCTTCTTGGAAACTTAATCCGATTAAAAATAAGTTTCAGCGTGCCCAGATCAACAACTGACTGGATGATTTGAGAAACTGAACAAAACATTTGTTTATTTTGTTATTTATTCTGATAAACTACACCTGGATTACACAAGTAAAAATACGCCTTATACAAAGTCTCTCATTTGTCTCATATTACACATGATTCATGAATAAGATATTTGACAGCTGTTTTCACTTTTAGTTTAGAAGTAAATTATTTTATAGGGCAAAGTAAGATTTCGAAGTTTGTGGCTGAAAAAGATTCTAACTAATCAGATCATTTGTGATAGCCTCATGTCACTTTCTTGTCAACTTGGAGGTCATTAATATAAGATCTACATGGCACACAAAATTATTCTTCATGTCTTGCAAAATAAATGTTCTGGTATAACTGCTTGTATTACACCATCGTTGATTGGACCGAACTGATGGGTCTCTATTAGTATCGACCGAGAAGCAATTTGGCAACTGCTTCAACAATACAGAGTACCACAAATCTTTATCAACCTCATTCAACAACTATATGAAAACGCCACATCCCAAGTGATCCGCAACGGAAAGCTCAGTAACGCCTTTGAAGTGAAGACAGGAGTAAGACAAGACTACCTACTATCACCCATGATCTTCCTGATTATGGTCAACTGGATCATGCAGCAGACAACTGCGAGGAGCGAAAACATAGGCATGTGATGGCCCGATTCAAAGACCCCTGAAGAAGATTTGGATTTCGCCAATGATGATTTATGTCTGATGTCTTGTCACAAAAACCAGAAGACCTACAGGCAAAAACCAACAAGTTGATAGGAGAGGCAGCGAAGATGGAACTACCTTCAAGTGAACACAGACAAGGCAGAGGTGATGAAGATACCCAACCAACAACAACAAAAGCAAGCACCAATCACCATTAACGGAAGAAACCTAAATGAAAGTTGGGCCTTTCACCTACCTAGGCAGCACCGTTCCAACTACAGATAGCACAGGCACAGATGAGGATTTCAAAGCATCGGAAAGATGCCAACACAGACCTCTCTTAACCTGAAACCAGTGTGGAGATCAGCATTAAATTAAGATCCGGATTCTCAACACCAATGTCAAGTCAATGCTGCTATATGGTTCACAAACTTGGCGAGGCACGAAAAACACTTCCAACAAACTACAGCCATTCATCAACAAATGCCGCCTACACTCACTCGATACTCAATATCAGATGGCCAGAATAATAAGAATCAGCTGAGCAACAAGGAAGTCACTCTGTCTGGCAACAAACCAGTCAAGAACCCACCACCCAACAAATATGCAGAAGACGAAAGTGGAGATGAGTTGGACTGGGCATACACTGAGAAGGCTGATTGGGGACATCACGCACCAAGTCAGGTCAGGCTAGGCCAAGGCAGGCGAGGCCAGACGAGGGCAGGCCAGGCCAGAGCAGTTCAGGCCATATCCTCGAGTGGAATTTGAAGGGGAAACGACGAGTTGGGTGTCCTAGGTGTGGGGGACATAGAGGAGATTGTGTGAGGAAGAAATGGAAGGTTGTGGGTAGTGGTGGCACCATGTTGAAAGGACTGGGGATAAGAGAGTGGAATGGAGGTGTGCTACTGAATTCCTATGTTCCACTAGGAACCCAAGGGAAAAATAGTAATAATAATATTGGCACACTGGCTCCTCTGTGGATGCCTCGATATTACCTGTGTTCTAATTGTAGTAACGATGGATAGTGGCTAGCATTGGAATCTAGGATGCCCATTTCATCCTTTTTGGGACTTTTCAGCTATTTCCCACTACTATCCACTCTCCATCATTATTACGACTTAAAACACAGACAATATCGAGCCATGTGCACAGAAGCCCATAGGCCAGTAGAGATCGATCAACAATTGTATAATACAACCTATAATACTAAAACTATACCAGTCACACAAGAGGTGACTACCACGGCTCTGTGGTTTAGTGGGTATCTCTCTGGCGTTTGGGGCACCGGGTCCTGGGTTCGAATCCCAACCGGGAGGTACATTTACCTGATGAGTCCCAAGTAGGACGAAATGCGCTTCCTGGATTCCACTATCCGTCATTACTATAAATAAATGTTGTGTTTGGCATGTATTACCGATTAAACACATCTTGTATATTAGGATATTATAATCACTTTGCTAAATCATACATGCAGTTGAATATTAAAATACAATAAAAAACACTTCATTTACTAGTCCTCACCTTTGGATTATAAAGTATCATTTCAATCTGTATTGAATCAGCCAGTAGTTGCTATAATCAGCAAGTTTATTCACGTGAGTTTTCATTCATCTAATCTCTTCATTTGTGCAAACCCTACTTAGCTTACTACTGACCTTGAAAGGACGCTAGGATGGATACTCACAGATGGCATTGGATGAAGGTTGCACTCTATCTTAAACTGACAAAAGTTGGAAAATACAGAACATTAGATCCCAACCCCTTGGCCCAAAGATAATTAGATGGCCCCGGAATCTGAGTCACTGGGTTCGACCCTTGGTGAGGCAAGTCATGAGTCCGTAATACTGAGGATCCCAGGATTAGGACGAAACACCTGTCCAGTGCTCCCAGGTTTTCGATGATTCTCCAACTGATGTCAGTCGGTGATCAGTACCAACTTGTAAATGAGAATAACTCAAGGATTGTATAGAAGTACTCATTACTCAAAGGAATGTTAAAGGGGGAAAAAACGAACAAGTACATAATTCAAAATTATATTAATATAGGTTAACTGAGATCCCTGATTTTCTCTTAGCTACCAGTCATCACCAAGAGAGTTTGTTTATGAACTCATTAAGAACGAGGTTATATTGAATAGATTCTTTATATCTTCTTTGGTTTCCGAGGTTCCATATATGATAAACACAAGACGTTTCAATAGATAGATTGAAGGGTTACAATGGAAAAAAAAACTGCTGTTTACTCATTCTCAGTCCACTACTGTATAAAAATGACTCGAAGATACACGCTTTCATTGTTCAATTCCGTTTTGCAGCTTGATAAAAAGTTCCCAGCTTAGGTGTAGCGATTTTTCAGTTCTGAATTGTCTTTGAAGTCCTCAGGATGGCTGAGATTATCAGTAGATCCGTATCTTTCCTTTGTATAAGAATAAAATCACATCCATTTTACTAAACCCTTCTTTGTAAAGAAAATCACTTAAGTGTACTTCATTCAACTCACAGTTTATTACCACAAGTTTAATAGTGTGTTATTCACAACGAATATTGATGGATTGTCATCATTTCTTGTATTTCTTGATGTTGTGCTGTATACTACTGAATTATATTCTAATGAGTAGTGTCCATTACATAGTGGAATACACAAAATAATCATACAGTGATGCTGTATCTCACCAAAACCGTTTGAATACCACCACTAGTATACATTTGATGAAAAAGAGAGCAAACTGCACACATAAATATCCCTGAATATTGTTAATCGTTTTACTGCATACTGTTGTAAAAGAAGCATCGAAGATTCCTGTCAACTACAGACTTACTCTACACAAGTCACAATAAACACAACGCACAACAGTCTGAGGCCATTCATTATCAAGGCTTTTTTATCTTTAAGATTGTCATTATACGACTGAAAGAAAGATTGAAAGAACTATGCATAATTGATGGTGAAACTTCAATGTGATCTTCTTTTAGGTACAAAGGTGTTCAGACGACAACTTTTGTCTACTAACCATCAAGAATGATACCAAGAAGTGGGGAAAAATAAATTATGTATGCTACTTACTTGTTTGAGTACGTGACAACCTCCCAAGAGAGCCCATTGTATTTACTACTGATACATGAAGAAAATTAGGCGGAAATGATAGTCATATCAATTTGTAGCACTAGTTCGAATGAGTCTGGTACACCTGCTACATCAGTGACTATTTAATGTCACCGATGACTCTCAGAGATTCCTTACAGCTTATATTGGACGAATTCAAGCCTAGTCCATGGTTTTCCAACAACACTTTTAAAAAATTACACATTCTGGGATCCAATGATATACTCTCGTCATCTTGATTCTCCTTTAGCCTAAATGGCTAGCAATTAATGAGCATCTCTAGTCAAAATAAAATTTATGCAACAGAGAGAGCTTAAATTATGGAAGATACCGAAGAAAATGAGAGATGAGCCATTCATTAGTACGCAACTCTGTGAACAGCTTCTCTAATCAGGTTGTAGGAATCCTCATTTATTCAGTCTTTTTAAAAAAAAATCAACTTACATAGGAAAAAAAAGAGCTGAAAGAAAAACTCTATCATAACAGATAGAAAGAACTAAAAGTTTTACATAAATGCGAACAATGTTCTTTTTACAAGATAAAAATGAAAGCTGAATAGAAAATTATAGAAAAATACAAATTCATAATTAAATATTTATCAAGTCAATAGTTTACAATAGTAATGAACTAATAAGGGTTAATAACAACGCCAAGAAACTTCCAGCTGAACCAGCTATACTTAACAACTTCAATTCAGGTAGAATTGCTTTCATAGTTAAAGTGAAATGTTGTTCCTTGTCACTGTTAGGCATTTGACAAATACAACCAACAACTTGTCTATAAATCTCATTTAAACCATCATATGGTATCATATCATCTAATAAATCAGAGATAAATGGAATAATATACAATTCTATACTAGATAATAACTGATACCAATAATTTGGAAATATTTCATTGATTAAATGTTTAAGACTTGAATCAGATAAAGTTTGAAGCTTCTCTAGTACACTGGATCCAAAATCAACAAGCTTGTCTAATAGCTGTATAATAACTTTATTCTCTTCAATAACTTTCAATTTCCCTTGAACAAATAAATAATTTTTATAATATGCATTGAATAACATATTAATTTTTTCATATAAACTAATCAGATATTCATTTCGATATTTAGATGTATTGTTAAGATTACGTAATAATATACTGAAATAATTTTTCTAGGATCAACTAGATATTGAGTTACATTACCAATAGATAAATTATCAAAAGACTTTTCTAATTTCAATGTCTCTTTCATTGTTTATATATTACTTTTAAATTAATTTGTGGGATTTTTGATTTTATATCATATTTATTCAATTTACTTATAATTTTTTTATACCAAATATTTTTCAATGTTAAATAAGTGAAATTTGAATTGAGTACAATACTAAAGTTAAATGGACGATTTATATGTAAACTGCGTAACAATGGTAAATTTCCTTGTACATATTTTGAATTCATTGTTTGTAGAATATTCTGTGGTATTTGTAAATTTAAATTAGGAATTGACAGAAAGTTATGAGCATCTTTAAAATTATAAATAAGAGTTTTTATATACTTGGTAATCAATTCATCAGCTTTTATTTGTGCTAAATTATTCGGTTGTAAGTAAGTACAGCCTTCAGTTATACTCATCATTGAAAGGTATACACCTGAAAGACTAATTATTAAAAATAATAAACTGATCAAAGAAATTATACATAAAGTAAGATGTTGACAAACAGATCGACATCTATGAATTTTATAATGATCTTGTCGACTAATAAAAATCTTATAAAGTTGCCTTTGACCTTTTATCCATCGTACACGTGAAATAAGTATATGCATATATAATACAATTATAATTATACACAATATAATAAGAATTATAAAGAAAATTATCATCGTTATACTAATATATCGTAAAATTTTGTTCAATTGTTCAATAACTTTATTATTATCTATCTGTTGTCCAATATAAACAGAAATTTCTTCTTTTCTTTTAACAATTTCTGGTTTTAAGTATGTTTCAAATAAAAAGTTAACACCATTACTTGATAAATTTGTAATTACTGGAAGCCATTTATTAATAACATCTTCAGCATTCAATATCTTAGGAATTGAATCATACATTAAAACTGATGTCAATGGATTCAATGGTAGGATAGTTGGTAAATATGTACAATAATTTATTAATTCTAACAAAAATTCATTAATTTTTTCACATGAAATAAAATCAACAAGTTGTGAATCTTTTAAACTATCACAAAGTGTAATTTTTGTTTGTTGTATTATAGGTGATGTATACCACCAATTGGAAGATAATGATATTGTTGATGAATGAATAAGAGGAGATAAACGTGATATATTCTGTCGATATTCATACCAAGAATGTTCAATTTTTCTAATCATTTCAATATTCAATACTTTGGCGACATTATTCAAATTTGCATATCGATGAAGAGTTAAATCAAATATATTTAAAATAAATTGTGATTTCGTTTTAATTTCATTTAACTGATTCAAAATTGTTTTATTTTCTAGTTCCGGTGGTGATATTGCTGACAAATTTAAACTATTAACAGTTATACTACTTTTATTACACAAATCAGTAGTTAAACAAGTAAAACCTTCAATTACAAAATATTTAACCCTTCCAATAAATTTATTTAATAAACTATAATTATGTGGTTGATGTAATGCATCATTGTTTACATGAAGTGTAGTTAACATGTAAGCATTATCTATAGCATATTGAATAAACTGTTCAATATTGAATGAGATCAATTTTAATTGTGATGGTAGACTATTGATTTGTTGTAGTAGATTTTCTTGATGCCTTACAAGTAGAATACAACAACACAGAAATCCTACAAAACACATTACAAAGATAGCAGAATAAATGCATAAGTATAGTAAAGATTTTTTGTACAATTCTGATACTTTTGATTGATATTTTGTATCAAGTTGAATATTTTCGAAATTTTCATTATGATTTCTAAATGTATCGTGAAATTTCACATATTTTTCATTCAAATCTTCTTTATCTTTCATTAATTCCTTGGAAGATAATTCAATCATCTGTGAAAAACTGTTGGATACAGTATCATCTTTAAGCTGATGATATTGTTGCTTGGTTTTGGTTATATAATTCCATTGATCACTTAAAAGTGATATGTTATCCCAATCAAAATCATTTAAACGAGAGAATTCAATTTCATGGTCTATAATTTTTTGATTGTTTAACGATGATTCATTCTTTGTAGAGTAGGTTTCTACTGATAAACTGTTATGAGTAGTATTTTTAGTACAATAAAGAAATATTACTTTTATTATAGTTATTAAACTCAATAAACATGAGATTATCAGTAGGCTAATTACTAATTGAACTTCCTTTTTTTCAGTACTTTGTTGTACGAATTCAAAAATCCAAGTAGTATTTTCAAATGGAAGAAATTTGAATATACCTCCATCGTAATATATTGAATCATTCATTGTATAAAACACGTCAAAATGTCTAATTCATAGAAAGAGAAAGAATAGATGATTAAAAAACAAAAGTTGAATCAGCGAAACATACTACTACTAAACAATTTGAGTAGTTAAAAACCATACGGGTTGATTTGTAAATTTTGCCAGACGTATCAGGCAGATCTAAACACGAGACTGCCATTTCGATTATTTAGAGTCCTACTCATCAGCCCATAGAAACGGATACACAGGGTGCACCACTGAAGAACTTGGCTTTAAACTAGCGAAACAGCTGTCTAGTATTTAGATCACTTTCATCTGGTTGACTGATGAAATCTACAAATCAGTCTGAATGGTTCATAACCGCTTAAGTTGTTCATTAGTAGTATATTCCACCAGTTTATGATACTTTCTTGTTCAAGATCACACCTTAGGTTCTTGACTGTAGAGTAGAAAGTTTGTTGACACCATTGTTGGGCATCTGATAAACTACTTAGCTTTGAGAAATGTCAACGTGGACTGTGCAATTTGTAAATCACTTGCCAAAAGAAATGGAATCAACTGTTTGTGCGAAACACTGTTTTCATGTTTGTTAGTCTAATCAAAACGTAAACTGGAAACTTGCAAATAAGTGAAATTTTGTGTGTAAATTGGATAATAGACAAGGGATTCCCACAGCTTACTGATCACTTGATGATAAACTAACCTGTTAAAAGAAATTGAAGCTTAAGAAACATGTGGTACTGATAAGCTTACTTTGATGTTCGATGTTCAAGTTCAATTACTAGAATTTTGTGTTTTTTTTCGGTACCGAATAACAAGAAGTAACTGTAACCATAAGTAAATCGGTGTTTCCTTGAAAGTTTGTAGAGAATTTGCTACAAAGTTATTCATGTGAAAAGTGACCTTCTATATGAGTGAATAATGTAAGCAAAGTGGCCACTAGCAGACAGTAGATATAGCTTAAGTGAAAAACTTGGGCACTGTGGTAGAATGTAGTTCCATATTAGATTTGTTTATTTGATATAAAGCGCACAGTGATACAGTATTATTTAATTGATTACGTTTCGAGCATAAATTATTGCTCATAATCATATCAATGTAATCACACTTCTTTCGACATCTGATTTTATAGTCCTGTCACCTGATCTCTCTTTGTTTTTTTTTTGTTTTTTGATTGGTAGTAAAGTTTTCCATATCTCTGGTATAGGTGTTGCGTCATTCCTATTACATGTGTTGGGTGTGGATTCGATGAACAAAGATTCAGTAATTAATCTCTCTCTCCACCTAGCTATATTAGACTTAAGTACAGTGGTTTTGTCCCATCCTATTGTGTGGTTGTGTGTTAATGAATGTAATGCAATGGCTGAGTGTTTTTCTAGGTTATTGATCTTATTGGGGTCTGCCGTTCTATGTTTAGCTAAATTCCTATGTTCTGTTAATCTAACTGACCCCGACCGGCTAGTTTGACCTATGTATTTGACTTCACAGTCATTACATGGAATTTGGTAGATTATATTATTTTGCTTAATTGGTTCTATCGGATCTTTTAGCCGACAAAGCTTACCTCTAAGTGAGTTTGTTGGTTTAAATGCCACCCTAATTCCAACCTTGTTGAGAATCCTACGTATGGTTTCTGATGTTCCTTCCTTGTATGGTATCACAATAGAGGTGTTGATTTCCTTTCTACTTATGTTGTCACTATTATTTGTATTTGTATTAGTGTTATTATTTTGCTTCTTATGCGTCCGTGTGAATTTCTTAATAAAATGATGGGGATAATTATTAGTTATTAACGCTTCTTTTATGTGTTTCAATTCCTTATTTAAGTCCTTACAATGACTAGTGAGTTTCTCAGCTCTGTTATTTAGACATTTGACTAAACCCGCTTTAACTGACACTGGATGAGATGACTTGAAGTCTAGATACCTGTTAGAATGTGTTGGTTTTCTGTAGACGGTAGTATCTAAACCACCATCTATCCTTCGTTTTATTCTGCAATCCAACATAGGTAATTCTCCTTGTTCATTTTCTACTTCGTAAGTGAATTGGATTGCGTTAACTACTGAGTTTATGTGTGTCAAGAAACTGTCGATATGTTCCGATTTCAACACTGTAAATGTGTCATCTACATATCGCCACCATATCTTAGGTGTCGGATTATATGTTCGTAAAGCCATATCTTCCCAACTATCCATAAATATATCTGCTACTATAGGGGATATTGGTGATCCCATTGCTACTCCTTCTGTTTGTCTATAAATCTTTCCCTGAAACTTGAAGACTGTCGAGGTTAAGCATAACTGCACTCCTAACATGATTTCACCAACCGATGCCTTGGTTCTTTGAGTAAGTTGTGAGTCAGTATCTAGTTGATTTCTGACTGCCTCCAGTGCCATATTGATTGGTATTTTAGTATAAAGACTTGTTACGAAACGTAATCAATTAAATAATACCTTATCACTGTGCGCTTTATATCAAATAAACAAATCTAATATGGAAGTAGATATAGCTGTCTAGTAATGAATGCTCAGTTTTGATAGAAATCCAGAGTCCTTTGCAAACTGGGTACAAATATTTATTACTTAAATGGAGTGCATTCCATCATGACACTACTCCGCTTATCGGCGATATTACAAGCTTACTTGACAAACTTCAACCATTTACAAATATTAAAGACTAGACGACTAAATCGGTCGCCTACTAGTGACCAATTAGTGAACTCTTCACCTTGTTTTCAACCGTTATAAAAATGTCTCACTAGCGTTTATATCATCGGTCATTAGCAGAAAGAGATTCATAGTTTCATTATGGTACTGATCACGGAATGACACCAATTGGGGGACTATTGAAAACCTGGAAGTAGTAGGCCACTGTCTTGCTCTAGTATGAGATTTAGCCATAAACACTCATGACCCCCACTAGGAATCGAACCCAGGTATATTCACGTTTCGCGACCACTACGTTACCATTGAGCAAGTGGGACGAAATGCAATGATCCACATTTCTTAACTTCTGTTAGCTCGCGATATACAGCGACCTTCATCTGATACCGTCACTGAGATGAACAAGTAATGAAAATTAGCGTATACCCTGAGTTGAATACATAGATATAATGCGAGTACTCGAGATATATATTCAGTGCATAAACATACTTTCTCTTCCTGGCACACTTCACCCATGATTTCTTTTCACAGAGACAGAAATTCAAAACTCCCATAGAATCTGTCACATGTTAGTGCTAAGCTTTCGGGTGTCAGTCAAGAGACAGGACTAAGCCTACGCTTTATGTTTTGCAGCATTTACCAAGAAGGCTAATCTGAAAAAAGTTAATCTTTCATCCAAAATTTACGCCTCCATTAAAGTCAACGGCTTAATCACTATTCTTTTAAGGTCTCGCTTGAGTTTTCGAAGCGCCACACCTTATATTTAAACTTTTTAGAGAAAGATAATAGGTATAGTTGTCCACTCTTATGTTCTCACTACTGATCAACTGACGAGGGTTAGGATCTACAAGTAGAAATGAGCTCCCACAAGATCACACACATCTTTAGCTTTTGCATGCTAAATAGCATGGAACCTAGTTTTAGAAATTCCTGTTAGTAAACTCATAGATCTTACATCAAAATGTGATGTATCACATAGTTGTGTTACTTAACTTAGTGAAAACATCAGAAGCTTGGTCAACAGACTTCAATGAGTGTTTAACCCTTGAAATCTAACAGTTTCACATGTCAACATTCACTGACTAATTCGTATATGGATTTCGTTGTTTAACCTACATTTAATGTGATCTTCAGAAACCGCTTAAAGTCATCATGTTACACCTCAGCTTTACGCTAACATCTTACAGGAAATAAAAGCCACTATTCACCTACTGTTTGAACGAGAATATATCCTCAAGTTGGAGCTATCAGACAATTCTATCTGGAGGTTTGTGGAGGTTTATTAATTGATTTTAAGTTGGAATTCATCATGGTGTCATGAAGCCGGTTGGAGGAGCATTGGAAACCGGGGAGCACTTGATAGCTGTTTCGTCTCAGTGTGGGACTCCTCAGCAGTGCTTACTCGTAATCCTTCCACACCAAGGATCGAACCCAACACCTTCAGGTTCCGTGGCCAGCACGTTACCATTGAGCCACAGGGTCAGAATCCAATCGGCCACATTTTCTACTTCTCTCAGTTCACGACATAGTGCGACCTATATCCAATGTCGTTGGGTAACTGTCGTCATGTTCGACTTGGTTGACTCCACTGGTCACGACTTGCCATCGAAACTTCGCGAATCACCTCTCGAAGCTAGCCAACAAAGAGCCCTAGGAAATGTAGACGATTGGATTCCGACCCTGTGGCTCAATGGTAACATCCTGGTCACGGAATCTGAAGGTCCTGGGTTCGATCCCTGGCAGGATTGTAGGTGCGCACTGCTGAGGCATTACATACTTAGATGAAGGAGCTGTCCAGGTTTCCAATGTTCCTCCAAATGATGTCAGTCCATGATGGATTATCAAACAATTATCTAGCTATTTTCTCAGTTTCACATCCACTGTTCTGAAAGATACCTATAGGCACTAAAACAAGGAGCTATGGAGCCAACATCTTTAGCATATCAAATTATCCTGTCCGCAAAAACGTGGTTATGTAATCCGGTTACCTGATGAAGATTTATATACTAGCCTCTGATCCATATCCAATGTAGATGAGCCTTTTTTGCTATCTCAATGTAAATTTTCAAGTGTGAGGAGTAAATCTGAACGCAAACCTCAATAGCTGACAGTCGTAAGCTTACACCAACCAGTCAACTTTCAACAAGTTATTTACACGTGGACATTTGTCACTCCCGGGAAATGGATAGAAAGGAAATAGATTGTGGGTGTTTTATATTCATGTTGGTGACTAACAGTGGAATCTAGGGTGTGCGTTTCGTTCTGTTTGGCACTTTTCATCTCGATGTACCTATATTCCAGTGAGCGACGGCTTTCCCACTAGAACTCAAAGCTAGGACCAGTCGTTTGGAACATCAG